GTTGGTTGGTTGGTTGGTTGGTTGGTTAGTTTATTTACACACACGCCTATAAGACACTGCCTGGTAAAAGCAATCAGCCCTTGATGAATTGCATCGTGTAACAATATTTCATTTCTTGGAATTTGATTCCATTAAAAAAAAAAACACCAGTCGTCATCAAAGTATGCAGCTTGACAAATCCTTTATTGTGTTCCTAGTCAATGGATGTGAACTGTGCACTTGGAAATTGCTTTGTTGATATGATTACTTTAAATTGGTTTCTAATCATTCCTTATTAAAACCAGTTAATAACATATAGGGTTAAATGAGAATGATCTCAAGGAAATATTGGGGGGAAGTGGTTCCTGCAACAAATGATTGTGTGGCGGTGTGCTCTTCTTCAGGGTTTCAGCCAGCCAGTCATGGGGGTTTTTCCCAGGACGCTCCATTCCAGCCTATCCCTAGCCCACTGCCAGCCAAAGAGATAATCAACATTCTGTGCCTACGGAGCATATTTAGTCCACACAGGGCTGTTTGGGTTGGGCAAATCTGTCCATGCCAGTGTCTCGTTTTCCCAATCTTAATCTCTACTTTGCCTCATCAATTTGCAAAAAAATAAATAAAAAAAAAATTCCCCTCTTTTTCAGGTCCTTGTGAAAATTCAGTAGCAATCACCCTACAAGCACATTCTTGCAGTCAGTTTCCCCTAACGCAATGTCTGTGAGTTCCACAACGTACGCATTGTTACAGACACTTTTCTGAATATTCACACTGTTGTAACCATGACTTGATTGGAGAACTGCCCTTAGACATTCAGAGAAGCGCAGAAACGAAAAGATAACAGGATTCACAGATTGTTTCAGGAAGCTCAAATGAGAGGGTGTCATCACTATGTGCAAACTGATCTGAATTTCTCCCGATCTCTCTTTGGGGGTTCTTGCCATTAGCCTATGTTTCTCAACTTTCGCAAGACCTGGCTTTCTCCCACAGGAGCCAACTCTATGAGGCCTGGTTCCCTTCATGCCCCAATAAAATATTTAGGCACCTCGCAATATTTTCTGCAAGTTGGTGCCTCTCTCCATCCCTTTGTCTGAGCAGGCAGAAACTTCTTGCACACGGTGGAGGAGAGGCTAGAGGGCATTGGAGAAGGGCTGGGCTGCAACCAGTTGTCTGTGGCAGAGGAAGGTGCATTCTGCAGTGCTGAATATGGAACAATATTTTGTTCAAGTTGCCATATTTTTTCTAAAGGCTGTTGAAACTTTCCTCTCATGCATGGAAGTTGCTGTTTTGACTACATATGGATCCATATTCAGATTATACTAGTATACAGAATACAAGGAAAACAATAAAGGCACGCTATACATTTAAAACATATTCAACACACATTTAAAGCACATGGCTTCCCACCCTCAAAAAAATAATAATTCTGGGAACTGTATCCCCCCTCCCCACAGAGCTACCATGTACAGCACACTTACCTGTGATACAATTGTGTTTCATTCAGTATTAAAAGAAGGGAATATAATTCAATTTTAATTTCCTGGTCAGCTCAAAATGGTTGAAGTATTGACCTTCCCTGCTCAGGGAACATTTGGCAAATCCCTCTCCACCCACCACACAATTTCTCCCTCTATAAAATAGGGACACAGGAAGCTTCCTAATATCAAGTCTGGCTATTGGTCCATTTATGATCTAGTTCAGTGTTGTGTATACTGAGTTTCCTAGGATTACCATGTAGGGGCCTCTCCCAGCCCTACCTAGTGGCCGAGACTGAACCTGAGACCGCTACCACTGTGTGACACATAAGAATGTACAAAATGGCCTCTCCAAAATTTCTCTTAAGTGGGGCCCCTGCAGGGATGGACACTCACCCATCTCTGCCACCCCCCGGGCACCAGCCCTGCACCCGAGAAACCTCCCTGCGATGTGCAGAACTTCTTCAGCAGACATGTTTTCACCCTGGCAACTTGGAAAGGGTTTCCCGATGTTAGGAAAGTTTGAAAGAGAGAAAGGAAAACACACCAGCAACAGAGAGCGTTGCCTGAAATAGAAAGTTCTTCCCGCACCCAGCCTGCCTTTATTAAGGCGCCGTTTTATTGTGGTGGGGGAGATGACACTCTTGCAAGCTGCACTCAGGCCTATCAGCAGAAATCTCCCTTTTGTCTCACCGAACGCTATTCACAAGGTCTCCAGCTCTCTGGCCTGAAAGAGTATTGATCTCCCGGCGAGCAAAGTCCAGCGTTCCATTAGTCCAATCTGTTTTCAAGCTGACACAATCTCATCATTTGTCACCCAGGCCTGTCCTGCTGTGTTTGTTTAGGAGCAAGACATTCGCTTTATCTGTCACTTTCCAGTTCTCGCTGTATCTTTTTTTTTTCCCCTTCCCCTCCCGATACAGAGTTTATTGGAGCCAAGGTCCCCCCCTCGCCCAAGTCATTAATAAAAAGAGATTATGATATGCCAATAGGATTCCAGAGGAATCTGGATATTTTTAGATGTGGCTGTCTGCTCAGCTGCAGCGGGGACAAAATTCTCTCATGACAATGGGAAACTGGAAACTGGAGAGAAAGATGGCCCTGTTTGCAGCCAAGTGCTGGTGCTACTCAGAGTAGACCAACTGAAAATGATGTGATGTAACTTAGGTTCATTCATTTCAGTTGGCTTTGCGCCAGATACAACCCAAAGCCACTGGGGCTCGTGGTTTGCTCACGTCATCCAAGGTCACATCAAAAAGCAAGAAGACCATTAAGACTCAAAACGTTGTGTTAAATAAAATGAGAATTTGCTATGAAAACTGAAGATAATTTCATATCCTATGGGAATGGACATTGTAGCGCCACCCTCCCCCCAAAATGGGGCTGCCCTCCACGATAATTCAGAAACCTTCAACAGGTCCAAAATGCAGCTGCACACTGTTGTACATGCAGCAAAGTTTCATGAGATTCCTCTCTCCCCATTGGCCAACATTCCCCCTGATGTGTCCGTCAAACCAAAGGGCACCGCCTCCCCACCCAGCACCCACAGGCCATACCTGAAAACAGTGACTAAGGGATGTCCACAACCCAACACTGCCTCAGGTAAGTGTGCCACTATTTCTGAAATCTCACCTGCCCAGACTGCCCACCAATAATGGTGTTGAAGGAATGCTACTCCAACAGGCAAACATCACCCAACAGCGTTGAATAGGTGAGATAGAAAAGACCCACAGCAAATTAGAGTCTTCGCCCCCCCCCAAAAAAATACTACTCAGGGAGAGTACAGGGAAGAGCATGCTTAAGTAGCCTGTCCCCATTAGGCGAAATCACCCTCGTGCCATAACGTTCTTCTACAGGGAGAGGGGAGGGGAGGAGGGGTGTAGCAAATTTCCCCTCTCAATAAATGGGTGGAATTGCAGAATTGAGGAAGAACTACCAATGAAAGAAGAATGGAGGATGAAGTTGATGGACTATGCAGAATTAGATAAATTAACAGGAAGGATTCGAAACCTGCGGGATCAGAGATTCTTAGAAGACTGGAGTAAATATATGAACTATTAGAAAAGTAATTGTGATGAACAGATTACGCTAGTAGGACTGCAAGAAGTTTTGTAAGGTGGATTATTTGAAATCTTGCAAGAAAGACTATGAAGAGAATTATTAGTTGAGGATAATTAAATGTAATACAGAAATTGAGAAATGCAGAATAAGTGATAAAGAACGGGAAATCATCAGAGGTGTTGACGGAAGTCTAAAATATTGTATAAGATGAGAAGTTATGTTGTATGACTGTTGGAACTGATATGTTAAAAAATCTATCTATCTATATATATATATATGAATTGCAGAATTGAGAACAATTCCCTTCCAACGGTACAATTCTATGATTCTCTGGTTTGCAAATGTGCCCAGAGGCCCAGAAAGGCCAGCAATTTTGAGGACCAGAATACAAAGTCCAAATACAGTAATATTATAAATCAGTTAAGCCTAATTACCCGCATCCTAACAGCAAGCATCCTCCCTAGAACGGACTACCAAAAAGAACTGAGAAGCTGGTCCTGTGGGTCACAGAAATGCACTTATGAGATGCCGCAGCAGGGCCTGCTGTTTACTGTGAGAAGTGGTTGCAGGAAAACCCAAGAAATCGGATCGTTCAGGGCAAACGTGATGGGGTGCCGAAGACCTCTTGCTGTTCAATATCACAGAGAGGTTTGGATTAGGGAGGTAATACATCACAGGATACACTCCCCAATAAAATTTTAAACACTCTCATTAACTAACAGAAGTCTATACACAGAAAACAGCTGTACAGCTGTTAAGGATTGTCTGCACTCATTTTGTGTCATATGCAGGGCTCCGTCAGCAAACCAGGAGTGAGTGGGGAGAGGGGGAGGACAAAAGGGGGTTGGAGTTACTCGCAATGGAAAATTCACACCGTACTCCAGATCTTGGTCATTTCAACCACACAGATGTTAACCAAGTTTTCGAGTTGGCCTGCCCTGTGGGTTTCTTGCTAGATGGAATGGGTTGTAATATCTCCTTAACCCCAAACAACAGTAAAAGCAGTTTGCTTGCAACAATAAAGAGAGAGAGAGGAATGAGTGTATCCCTTTTCCATGAGTATGGTTAGTCTTCATGGACATACAGGACACCATGTTCTTTCCTTTATGTAGAAGGGATAAGGTTACGTTTTATTTGCAGAAAACTTTGCGGCAGCAAAGCCAATTCTGTAAAACACACACACACACACACACACACACACACACGACTGCAACTCAGGAATTCTCATCAATCAATTTGCCACATCGGTATGGAATTCCATTTTTAGGGCCCGATAGTAAGGGCCATGTCTAACTAACTTTGACTCAGAGTACATCCATTGAAGTGAATGGACCTAAGTGAGCCGTCTTCATTAATTTCAGCTGGTCCAGCATTGGATACAACCTATAATCCCTTTTTAAAAAGAAAAAAGAAAAACAAAAAAAATACTGTCTTTGCTACTCAAAATGTGAGGGTGTGTGCGCTATTTTTCTCAAGGTGAAATTCAGAATACATATTGTGTGTGTGTATATATATATATATATATATATATATATATATATACATACACACCCACACCCACACCCACACACACACCCCTACACCTCACACACACACCTTTGGGGCATTTTTTTTAAAAAAAATAGCCATCAACAATAATAACAATAATAATAAAAAATTGGGGCAATTTTTTATTTTTTATTTATTTTTGGAAGGAGGGGAAGAGAAAAAAATCACAAGTTCATAAAGCCCAGATTCCCTGGGCAGGATATATATATATATATATATATATATATATATATATATATAATTATTACGTCTTTTCTATTTACTTCCTACCTAGATAAGATCTTAATCGCAGCCCCCAAATTATCCACCGTGACATTTATCAACTCTAGTCATCTTTTCTTTAGCAAGCTCCGCCTGACCAGCCGGCATTTTATCCACCCCTTCCTTTCAATGGAAGTTAATTTCGACTACACGATTTATCTTGCTGGGCTAACAGTGCTGAGGCAGCCCACCTTTTCAAAGGGCTGGCCAGGGAGTGAATTATAGCAGAGTTGTCCGGTGATTGCGTTCCAGAGGGAAGGAGAATGAGAAGCCAGTGTGTCGTCCCGATGTGGCGCTGGGACCTTTTCAGCCCGCGAAGAAGAAAAGATTAAACCTCTGACCGCGGGGCTGACAGGCAAGTGTTATATCAGCAGACAAAGGCCCGAATACCTGAATAGAGCCGAGCTCCATGTCCTTCCAGATCAGGTGGTGTTTACAAGGCTAGCCACTGACCCTAACCTCCACCCCCTTCCCTCGCATTTACATGATATCAGTAGGGCAGCCTTTAGCCTCCTCAGAATCCGGCCTGTCTGCATCGCCTTCCCATTAGCATAACTGAGAATTAGCAACGGGCAAAACATTAAAAAGGCCAGAAATCCGTTTGCACGCAAAGTGTGGGCCCCGAAAATATATGTGTGTGTGTATATATTAATATCCATCTCTGTCCTGTCTGCACCCATGTAGGCTCCTGTTTAGCTTTGCCATGAGGTTCATTCCGTATCGTTTCATGCTCAAGCTTTAATTGTTAAATATATAGATTTAAGGAGCCTTGCAGGCACGGCCCACTCCAACACATATTTGGCGCAAGCTCCAGTCACTGAGTGTTAGCCCAAGAGTCCAGCTGGTGCCATCTGGGGTAGGATAATAAGATGCCTTCACAGAGGGCCTCCCAAGTTGCATTTTCCACATTCTCCCTGCCTTCTCTCTGCCCCCACCAACCTGGTTCACACAACTGAGTAAGCAAGGAAGATGCTTCAACAAGACAAAGTTTTAGGAACGCTGGGCTTTGAGAAACACAAGCCAGGAAGTGATTCACCAGGGAAGATGTGCTCTCAATATACGCCCCCTAACTAGAGGTGCCAGTTGGTCAGCACTTAACCCCTTCCTCTGGACCAAGATCAGGGGTGGGAAGACTTTGGCAGCTCAATGACCATATGCCAGTGGTGAACAAGGTCAGAGCTAAAAGTTAGCAGGTTTACCTCTTTTTTTCAGTTTTTGCACACATACACCCACACACCGACACCCCTTCTGTATCCTCTATTCAGGAGAGCAAAACACATTACCAGAGTTCAAGGACACATTCAAACTGGGAAGAAACACTCAAGGAGATTGTGAATCGGGGCTAGGGAGGAAGAGTCTGGTGGGCCAGATAGAGAGGTCTATGTGGGATAACCAGCCTCAGATAACTAACATGGTTAAGTCTAATTCAGGCATAGGCAAACTCGGCCCTCCAGATGTTTTGGGATTACAATTTCCATCATCCCTGACCACTGGTCCTGTTAGCTAGGGATCATGGGATTTGTAGTCCCAAAACATCTGGAGGGCCAAGTTTGCCTATGCCTGGTCTAATTCATACATGAAGGGGTTAATACCATAGAGTAAGCTGTCCTGCGAGGCTTAGCTCACCTTGGGAGGAACTAGGTCATCAAGCCTTTGTTCTCCAGTCTACCTGAGAAGCTCAATGTGTGAGGTCTAAGCAGGTTGCTCTAAGCTCAGACTGCATGACTCTTAACAAGTCTCTCTTAAGTTCCTATTCCAATAAATTAGGAACTTTCATCACTTCATCACCATCATCATTTTATTTGGAGCAGAGACTGACCGAATAGGATTCTCCAATGAAATTGAACAGGAAATCATCTCACTTATTTTGCAGAGGCCGATGCCTAGTGGGTTAGACAGCGTGTGGCGGTCACCTCCAAGCAGTGCCAGATTGCCTATGGGCCCCACGACAATGGATAAAAAAAAAAAAATATTGATTTCATCTTGAAATAAAATTGGTTTATTAAAATTGTTGGTCGGCAAACTCAAGAGCATATTCGGAGATTATTTGTGAGGGCGGCAGCCATGGGGCCTCCACAAGGTTTAGAATCATAGAATTGTAGAGTTGTAAGGGACCCGAGGGTCATCTAGTCCAACCCCCTGAAATGCAGGAATTTAATCCTGCACTGCCTCCAAGGCATCTTATATTAACGTAAGCACTGCCTTTTTGGATCTGGCCAAAGAGCCATATAAGTCCAGCATGCAGTCCTCACTGTGGTCAGCCAGATGTCTCTGCCACAAGCAAGACCCAGACGCTGCAGTGCTCTCCCCACGTGGGGTTGCTAGAAAGGGGGAAATCAGAGGTAGCAAAACTTCAATTGCAATTGGAAGAGAGTGTTCCACTAGAAAAGGGACGCAGGTGGCGCTGTGGGTTAAACCACAGAGTCTAGGACTTGCCGATCAGAAGGTCGGGGTGAGCTCCCGTTACTCGGTCCCTGCTCCTGCCAACCTAGCAGTTCGAAAGCATGTCAAGTGCAAGTAGATAAATAGGTACCATTCTGGCAGGAAGGTAAACGGCATTTCCGTGCCCTGCTCTGGTTCGCCAGAAGCGGCTTAGTCATGCTGGCCACATGACCCGGAAGCTGTACGCCGGCTCCCTCAGCCAGTAAAGCAAGATGAGTGCCGCAACCCCAGAGTCGGTCACGACTGAACCTAATGGTCAGGGGTCCCTTTACCTTTACCTTTATTCCACTAGAGGGACCTTAGGCCTGATCCTGCAAGCTGTTCTTATGCCCCCCCCGCCCCCCCCATTTGTAGAACCAACAACGAACAACTATGTTTTAATCATATTTTTTTGTTTTTTAAAAAAACCATTTTCTTCAATTGCATATTCATTCCCTCCTTCATGAGGGGGAAAGCTGAGCTCGCAACAGCTCTCTTGACAGATGTTAAAATGCTTTGCTTTTGCAAAGTTTCAAGAAGTCAAACATCTTTTAATAACCTTGTAAGTGGCCAGTGTTCTTTGTTCCCTGGGGGTAAAACTCTTCGTGAACCACAGACTATTAGTACAGGGTCCCTGCCAGACAATTAGCCAAGGAGTGATTAAATGAGGAATACATATTTGGGTAGTGAACAGAGTGTATTATTTTTCTCTTTTCTCCCCCCCCCCCCCGATTTATGTCATGCTAAATATATCTGTTGCTTGGCATGCGTCCTGAAGATTTGGTTTCACTAGGGATGAGCGCTCCCCCCCCCAAAAAAAAACCACCCCTCTGACTGAGAAATATATCATACACATCCGCTCTTATTATCTTAGCTTGCATTTTTTTAAAAAGAGAGAATGCAACTAACTTAGGAAGAAGGTGAAAGCACCAATCCATTTTTTTATAAAAGCAAAAATAACTGTTTTAAAGTGAGTAGCTTCACTTGCTGAAGTTTTGCGCTGTGAACAATTATTTTTTCTTTTCTTTTCTTAGAAGCAACCACTGTAGTAAAGGCAGTGAAAGGACCAATCACTTTTTAAAAAGGTAAAACATTAACTGCTTTAAAGCTAGAAGCTGTATCAGCTGAAATTTTGAATCCTATGGAAGTGTTTGAAATATAGGAGTCCCTTCTTCCTTTGAGTCTGGCTACTCTGCCTTTAACAACAACCTGTGCAGCTCACACACATATCTGCCCTCATGGGAAAAACTTCATCTGCAAAATGGAGATGAGCCAATATTCTGTTGTCATTTTAAAAAAACCAAAAACATTTATACTGTAGCCAAACTTCTTAACTGATGAGTGCAGCTGTGAGATGCAGGCATTAGCAAAGTAATAATGCTTATCTTCATGCTGCTGTGATAGCAAACTAAGCTGTTGTTAAACGCAGAAGAGCAGAATGGGCTGGTTTTCCTCAGGTTAGTTGGCAACCCTGCCCTGCAGAGTACAGTGGTACCTTGGTTTTAAGAACAGTTCGGTTTAAGAACAATTCAGTTTACAAACTCGCAAAACCGGAAGTAGTGTCCTGGTTTGAGAACTCTCCCTCGGTCTAAGAACGGAATCTGAACGGTGGAAGGGCACCGGCGGTGGGAGGTCTCATTAGGGAAAGCATGGCTCGGTTTAAGAATGGTTTCGGTTTAAGAATGGACTTCTGGAACGGATTAAGTTCATAAACTGAGGTACTACTGTATTGCAAACCGCCAGGGGGGAATAAAAGGTCTGGAAATTTAAATTTGATTTGATTTTTGGGGCCAGGGCTCAAAAGAGCAAGAGGTAATAATGGTTATGTGCTCTTCCTTTGTTGCTGTACAACACAGAACCATAGAAATGTAGAGTTGGAAGGGACCCAAAGGGTCATCTAGCCCAACCCCCTGCAATGCAGGAATCACAGCTAAAGAATCCCAGAGAGATGGCTATCCAAGCTCTGTTTTAAAACCTCCAGTGAAGGAGAGTCCACATAAAACAGAATACTTTTCTTATAGAGCAACCATGAACAGCATGAACAGTCCCAAAGCCTGACAATTGCTGAACTCTGACCTGGCTCCTGGTTCCTCCCCCTGACCTAGATGGCTCCGCCCCAACAAGTACTCCCCCCCTTTTTTTTTGAAAATCCTATCTACAAGGCTCTTGGGAAATTAAAAAAGAAATGACTACCCAAGATATACTTCTCTCAGTGCTTCAAGAGAGGGAAACAGATGTGATGAATAAAATCCTGATTTTACTAAAAACCGAGACCTCAAAACTGGGACCTGTTCCGAACTAAAAGTGGGGGAAGTTAAATCCAAAGCATCCT